TGGCACGTTTTGGTTGCCCCAAAACCGTAACAACTGACCAAGGCGCACAATTCGAGTCCACTCTCTTTAAGTCGTTGGCCGCGATGTTAGGCAGTAAGCACATCCATACTACTGCATATCATCCGCAATCGAATGGGTTGATCGAACGCTGGCACCGATCTTTCAAAGCAGCATTGATGTGTCATTCAGAAGCAGATTGGACAGAATTGCTGCCAACGGTTTTACGTGGGCTTAGGACGTGTTACAAATTAGACATTGACGCATCGGCAGCTGATCTACACTACGGCGGGTATATTCGATTACCAAATGAATTCTATGACGATTTGGATAAACCAATCAATCCTCAAGATTTCGCCAAGAAATTTCGAGACTACATGCGAATGGTACGGCCGGTTCCAACAGCGCATCACGTCAAGAAGAGTATGTTCATTTACAAACATTTAACAGATTGCTCGCTTGTTTTGCTAAGAACTGACGCAGTGCGGCAGCCTCTGGAGCCGCCTTATTTGGGACCGTACGAGGTGGGTGAGCGTTCAAATGATAGAGTGTACATCATCAACATAAATGGAAGAAAGGTTGCGGTCTCAACGGAGCGTCTTAAACCAGCATTTTTCATAAAAGACTGCCCTGAATCGGAGGTTTCGACCACAGTAAAGACATATCAGAGGAATAAAAAAGTAAGATTCGCTCCCGGTTTGGTCACTGGGAAGGGGGTAGATGTGGCAACCTCTGGTGCCATCTATCCGTGATGACAAGGAAAATATCCTCAAATGCAACCATGGGTGTTGAGGGATATTCGAAAGAAGTGACAGCTGATTAAATTACTTTAGGTTATTAACGTGTTTTGCTTTTGAGACATACGAATTATTTTAGTATGTATAGTTTGTTGTGTTTCTAGAATCTTCTTGGAAGAGAATAAAGGTTTAGTGAGTAAGATACACACAACGCGTTTCTATTCACTATAAACTTAAGCGTTCAGCGACATCTGCCTTTGAATTGCCAAAACCTAAAATAAAACGCAATTACATGCTTTTCTTACAAATGTCGGCTGTGGCGTCACGTGAAGACTACTGGTTCTGGTTCTGGGATCGCTGTTTCGAGGCCGCTTGGAGGTGGTTAAGATTTTTAAAGTTAGATCAATGTAAGTAGGAATAATTATTTCAATTTAAATATAAATAACAAACTTAAAAATCTAGTTACATTACAAAAAAAAAACAGAAACAAATATATGGGAAGAAATACTTATGCCACAAAAAAATTTATTAAAAAAAAAATTTTTTTTAATTAAATTTAAGAATAACAAAAAACTCTAAATAAAAAATATTAATAAAACATATATAAAAAAAAAATAAAATTAATAAAAAATTCCCTGCGCCCGGGCTTGAACCTGGTACCCCAGGCATACCACGCGAGTGCTTTGCTCTGTCGGCCATTGCGACTGTTGGAGCGCCGCGAGCAAAAAGGCATACTAATGCTTTTCATAGGGGATGAATTGGCAGACTATCTCATCAACTGGTATGATGCTACTATTATTTCTACTAGTAGATGCTGATGCATAGCCTGACAATTGACATCTCGTAGGACATCGCAATGTTAAAAATACCAGTCGCTAACATTGAAAAAGTATAGAACGCGAACTAGTTGGGGTGAAACGCAAACTGGTAGAATTCTAGTTCACAACTAGTAGCTTTCCCTGCAGGGCAAAAATGACTCGCACTATGTGTGGTCAGCTGCTGAAGATTTGCATGTGTAATTAATGGATTTAAATTTACTTTTAAGAAATTAATCTTATTGGTACATAACATGTACATATGTATAAAATTCATACAACCAAAAAATGTTAAATGATCTCATCTCTGTGCCTAAGACTGTACCTGCATTTATTTATTTCTTGTTTGTTTTAAAATGTACAAAGCACATATGTATGTAAATGTTTTGTATTCGAAACATTTAATCTTAAATAAATGAATTGTATGCTTTCAGAATGCTTTTTTGTAATTGAAATTAATTTGGTAGGTTGTAAACGATTTTGGTCGGATTTGGGAATAAAATTGGTAGGGGAAAAAATTTTTTAGTGACACCGCTGCACTATAGGAAATTTGACCCTATTTTGTGGCCAAAATTCTAAAAGTTGAGATATCAATTTAAAACTTGGTCCAGTAGTAGGACTAGAAGTAGTGGCCTTGCCGCACAAAAATTAACCCGTAATGGTCACACCTCCAAAAAATGGCGTAATGGTCACACGGGGTCCAGTGGACCCCAACCCAATAAACAGATGCCTCGTACGTTCTATTTTAAATATCGACTCGAATCCTCCACTGACCTTAAATTCAAAACTTTCTCTTTATTATCTGACAGGTTTTTTCCAACTTTTAAATTATAACACCGTGAATTATTTCATAAAACTCATGATTTTGTACCAAGTAGTTACCTAAGAAAAATTATAATTTCTTTAATATCGCACAAAATCGCATTATAAGACTATGGGGAAATAAGAGATCAGGGACTATTCTACCGATTTATGATGAGTTTTTTTAAACGTTTTTAAATATTTTTTTAAAACATTAAATAAACTTTTTTTTAATTGTAAAATTTCACTTTAAAGTCACTTAAATGCGGACGTTTCTTTGGCACAACCTTTAAACTATAATACAAGTTTTAATTGGTAAATATTCTGCTAACCGTCACTCTTTCTTCCCACTTTTCACTTTTGAAAAACAGCAAATAGATTAGGAGATACACGCATTTGAAGTGGCACAAAATCAAACTACATATTTTTCGTTTACAGAAAATTTCGAAACTATGTTTGAGGGTTACCAAATCAACGGTAAGTCAATTTATCGAAAAAGAGAGTATACAGATTTTTACTCTGAAGTATTCTCTGTAAGATAAGACAAAACAAAATTAATTTCAAGCAAGTGAAGAAATTGACTTTTGGCCACAAAATAGGCTCAAATTTCCCATAGTGCGCTGCCTGCCTAAAAAGGTAGAAGATCCGCCGTTTGTTCGATTATAAAAAATGAGATGTCAAATGAAAGGGATTGACTTCTAGATAAGCATTAATGTCTAATTTTTTTAGTAGGCCATGATGCCAACTATTAGTTTGTATCGTTATTGATAGATGAGGACAAAACCATATCAACCCCTTATTGCGGTTTTATCGTAATCGAAACAATTATCGAAAACCTTTTTTTGTTGCAAATAGGTTACAAATACCATGATAAAAACATAGCAAGGTAGAACCGTTCTCTCAATTTGTCGGCCATGATTTTTTTTTTTTGAAGTTTGCCAGCATTTTAAAATCATATAAATTGAAAATAAAAAATTTATTTATTCGAAATTATTGTTGCTTGAGATTGAAAATGTGTGTGTGAGTTTGTGAGTAAATTTAAAAATTAAAATGTTTGGAAACGTCAAGAATTTTAAAAGTAACTCTCAGCGGTTCTACCTTACTATATTTTTATCATGACAAATACTAGTTACAACGTCCTACAAAGTCTGGCACTTTGAATATTTACCCTGCAAGAACAGTGACTATCATTTGACAAATCATTTGAATGGCAAGACTGATAGAGATTTCTGTCACTGGCTACCTACAAGTTTCTATCAAATTCTAAAGGGCAGTGTGAAAAATCTGATGAAAACATTTGTGTACAAATTCTTTCGTCTTCCTCCAACTTCTGGCCTTATTTTATGGTCTCTTTTTAACCATCGCAAAATTTTCATATGTGTTAGTAAGATAAATGAGAATGTGTTAGTTTCCATCACACAATTCTTGTAGGGTACCGTTACGGAAAACAGCGAAATGAGTTTTATTGTTTGCTTTGTTTACACTTTTGCGTTCCTATAATTTTATCGTAAGCAAAGAACGTAGATAACAAGAAGGGACAACTCGTTATAATTGTAGCGAAAGTAAAAGGTGGTGTCTTCTCTTTTGCTCTAGTACGTTTTTTAATTGGATGAAAAGAGAAGGCACGCCCCTCTTACTCACTTTCGCTACAATTATAACGAGTTGTCCCTTCATGTTATCTACGTTCTTTGTCGAAAGCCACTGGGTGTAAAAAAGTTTATTGTAAATAGCAGTTTGAACCAGGGCTGCATATCTATATAAACAAAAAAACTTCGTTTCGTTATTTATAACAAAACCACTTATCAAAAAATTTCATTTGCTTATTATCAATGAACAAAATATGAAAAGAAAAATAGTTCCGTTAGTTATCAAAAAATGTTAACAAAAAAAATTTCGTTTCGTTGATTATCAAAAAGTAAATATAGTTGTCGGCCGCTGTGGTGTAGTGGTAAGCAGTGCGCGCTTCCACTCCGCAACGCCTGGGTTCAATACCTGGTCAAAGCAACATCGCAAAAAATATAGAAAAAAAGGTTTTTTCTTAACAGCGGTCGTCCGTCGGCAAGCAATGGCAAACCTCCGAGTGTATTTCTGCCATGAAAAACAGCTTCTCATAAAAATACAATCGCCATTCGGAGTCGGCGTAAAACTGTAGGTCCCTCCGCTTTGTGTGACAAAATCAAGGCGCACAGCACAAATCGGAGGAGAAGCTCGGCCAAACACTAACACGTGTGTAAGCGCCAATCTATTATTATTATTATTAAATATAGTTATTTTGTTTCATTATTTAAAAAGAAAATTGTATGCAATAGATTTGCATCTTGTAATGAGAGTTGTGTAGCGAAATGTGTGGGTATTATGGCATCTGATCCCGGACCATCCCGGGATTTCGGGATCTTAAATTGGTAATTCCGGGATCCCGAGATATTCCGGGATATTATTACCATTAATTAAAATATGCTAACAAACTAGTTTTATAGTCTTGCTTTAGTGCGAATACTCTAAATGCAAGTAAATTTGTGTGTTTTAAGCAAAGAAATATAAATGTCTTTATTTTATATGAGTTTGAAAAGCTAATTACAAACTTAATAAACGTAAAACTATGGAATTGAAATTCATTCATATTGCAGTCGCAGTCATTTTTTACAAAAATTAAAAATAACAGATAATTTTTACACTTACATATAGTATTTGTACATATGCTTACACATATGTATGCGTAGTTATATTAGTATGCCACAGCATACATATATACACTTATGTATATATACAAGTCGAACGGATTTCGTAAAAAAGTATGTCATGTCTCCGGTTCGCCTTAAATTGTTTTATGGGTTCCATACATGAAACAAAGGCGGGTTCAACGTTCTTGTCCGGACAATTTTTTATTTGCTTTCAAAACATTTTTGCCGATGAGGATGCTGAAGTACGGCTGTACGGTTCGCCGTTCAGTTCGGCACATTCTATTTTTTTCTGAAGCAAACAGCTAATGATATTGTTGCCGTTCTGCGTTATCGTGAAGTGAAAAGTATAAAATTAACACCGAAAAAAAGGCAATAACGCACAACGAGAATTGACCCTCTGGATGGTATGCGCGGCACATCTTATAACTACAATTGACGCTACTACTACTTTTCTACGACCCATTGATCCCGCAATTGCTTCAAATAATAAAATTTGTCTGTTTATTAAATTTTTTGGTTGGTTGGTTTGGTTTTGGTTTTTGGTTTTTGATATTTTTTTTGATAATCAACGAAACTAAATTCTTGTTAACATATTTTTCTGATAATGAACAAAACGATTTTTTTTTTTTTTGATAAACACATAATGTTAACATTATCGATGTAAAAAACAAAAACGATTTTGTAATTTCGTTTATTGATAAAAATTAACGTTAATGTGCAGCCCTGGTTTGAACTGTGGTTTAACCAAAGTTCCATCGGCTCTTGCTACAACTGAATGCTTCAAAATCAGCTTCTCTCCCATATTAAGTGCCATCTGCCATTATGCAATTGCATCGCAATCGCTAAGTCTAGTGGGGTCTTTTTGAAACTTGCTTTGCCAATAGGTTCTAAGATTTAAAAGCATATCAGAAAGATGAATAACAGACTTTTACCGGGGCTTATGTTGCTATTGTATGCACTGGTATAGACAAAATTTCAACTGAATTCGAAATGGCCATCTTAACACCAGCTTATACGGTCATATGGATTCACACTTTCTAAGTTATTTCATTTTGCCGTTTATTTCCTTTCAAATAGCTTATAGGATTCTGATTTTATCACTTTCAATTATCATAACTTTGCATTTTAACTTTCTTTTTATAAAATTGCAGTCTTTGATTTTAATCTCTGGATTAAAAGTTTTCGTTAGGCAATGTTTTTCTCCAATAACTAGGTTTAAGACACACAACGAGTCGAGGAATATAATAACTGATTTCGAAACTTGCCAAAAATCTCCCTAATATAGGTTCAGCCTATTTTGGTCAAGGATTAAATTTTACTTTTTTTATCATTCCTAAAAAAATGCCAGAAATACCAAATAATAGCGCCAATGTGATCGGTTTAGATATTTGTTTAATTTAATGAGCTTTGACACTGCATCCACGAAACAACTTGTGGATGTACCAAACAGGTAAAGTTAAAAATATGTTGAGCTTATTCTGCTGATTGGCAGTGTATATTTTTAATTGACTTAAAATTCCGTTTTTTCAAACAATCCTTAAAATGCGATTTTATAAATGTCCAGATTACACAACATAAAAACTATCGCAAGAGCCAATTCTTTGATAACTTACCTCTCAGCTTGTTCAGGAAAAATATCGTAAGCGCAATTTTACCTTTAAACAATAGGATATGCGAAAAAAATAAATAGTCCTAGTAGAAAGCTAGCATTCAATAATGTTTTCCATTTAAATCCAAATAAATTTTTGCACTGTTTAAGAAAGAATTAAAACCTCTCTGTAAATTTTACCTTTTGTCGATTACGATTAAATCGCAATCAGGGGTCGTTAAAAAATATATGCACATATATACATATTATGCAAAATACCTTATAATTTTTTATTTTATATTTGCTACAATCAGTATAATACAAAACAGAAGTTTATGTAACGAAAAATTATGAAAAAGTAAAAAATTATACAACTTTTATAATTTACATTTATACATTCTTTGCTATGAAATCCGCCAACTTTTCACCATTTGCGCCTGCAAACGAATTTATTTGTTTACGGTCTTTAATAAATACAAACGTGGGCATGCTGGAAATGTTGTACTCCATTGCTATGTCTTCACATTCATCCACGTCAACCTAAAATGTTTAGAGCCGGTTAGTTTATGTTAATAAAAAATCGGGACTATTTTCTTAAAAATGAAAGTGTACAATTTGTTCTAATATAATATTCACAATTTTTTTCATGATAGATTATTTACATTATTTATGAAATACTTAGTTCATTCTATAATATAAACCATATGAATCAAAGTTTCACACTTTATACAAAGTTCACAAAAATAAAGTCATTAAAATTTTCAACTTTTTGTCAGAATTTTTAGAAAATTTTCATGCTGTAAACGATGTACCCCATTGCCATGTGTTCACATTCATCCACGTCAACCTAAAATGTTGAAAACCGGTTAGGCGCTCCGCCTAGTCATAGTATTGTAATCGTTCCGGCATACTAAAGTATGATGCTTTTTTGCCGAACGCATGTATTGCAATGAAGCTCTGTATATTACGATCCATAATAAACATTGTAAGGCGCTTGCCGTTTTGAAATCAGAAGTAAACAAATTACTTTTTTGTGTTGCAAATAAAAATTATCTGTCATTTCAATAGGACATAATTGAAAATTAATGATTTTGTGCTAAAACTCGTCCCAATTGTATTAAACCATAAACACTTAAGCAATATTTTATTGCACAAATATTCGCGGAAGTGCATTAGTGAGAAAGACCGGCCAGAAAATGTGTAATGTGTGTGCTAGCA